TATCGTTACAAAACATATCGACCATATTAATAATAATAACAAATGAATTTTTTAAATTTAATTACCTAAAAAAAAATGAAAAGTTTAATCGAACGCGCGTATAAAGTGTGACTTTCATTGTTATTAAAAAAAAAAACGTCGAGAAAACTAAAAAAAAAAAATTTATTAGTTTTGCGTTGTGAATGTTGTTATGTTATTTTCAAAACAAAATATTATAAAATGTTATAAAAAAAATTTTTTTTCTTTTGTCGCGTAACGTTTACGTTAAATAATAATAATGATAAAATTCATTTAAAATAAACGTATAGTATCGATTGATTTCCAACGGTTAATTTTTAGTGAAATAATAATAATTTACATAATATTTTGTTTTCATTACATAAGACAATATAATTCAAAGGAAATGTTTGTTTGTTTGTTTGTTTGTTATATTGAAAACGTTACGTTTTAATTATTATTATTATTATTAAAAGAATTTTTCGTTGTTGTTGTTGTTACTACATTCATCGTGAATTTTGCAAAATTATTTTTCCCCCCCAGAAACATAATTAATTTTATTAATAAAATAAGTTATTAAAAATCATCGTCATATTAATAATAATAAATAAAATTTTTTTCGATTCGGATAAAAATTAATGTTAATAGAATATGTTTCCAAAACGATCAATAAATACATTAATTAATTAATAAATAAATAAATAAATAAAAGATTTTCTCTCTAAAAAAAAAAATATGTAATTGTTTTTATTTGAAATTAAATAGAAAGAAAGAAAGAGAGAGAGAGAGAGATAGGAAATACGTTCGTGTATTGTGTAAAAAAAAAAAAAATGTAAATAAAAATAAAATAAATGTGTGAAAGTGAATAAATAAATAAATAAATTAATTTAATTAAATTAAATAAAAATAAAAGTTTTAAACATGTTTCACGTTCGTATTTTCGGATTATTATTGATTACATTCGGTGAGTTTTCCTCCATTTTTTGGTTTTTCTTTTAAGTTTAAATAAAAATTTAAAAAAAAAAAAATGTAAATAATAATAATAATAATAATGTTATAAAGATCACAGGTAATAATGTCGCGACGGTGTTTTTACGGGGGGAAGGGGAAAGGGGATTATTGTTTAAAAGAATTTTAAAAAACCAGCAAAGAAAAAAAACTCATATTTTAAGGTTTGAAAAAAAAAAAAAAAAAAAAAAAAATTTTCTTTTGACAGCTTTTGTGTTCGTGTGTACGTGCGTGCGTGTGTGCGTGTGTATGTGTGTGGCCTGCCCGTAAATTCTTTTTTTTTTTTTTTTGAACGCTTATTGTCCGTTTTAAGTTGGTACGGAGTGAATGAACTCAGGTACCGCAACACCGTAAAGAAATATTTTCACTTAATAGTAAAAATGAAATGAGTGAGAGAGAGAGAGAGACAGACAGAGAGTTATTATACATTTAAAAAAATCATTTCGTTTCTTTTTTTTCTTTTTTTTTCCATTCGTAAAATTCAATAGAAAGAGAGAGAGAGAGAGAAAATATTACATCACGTAAAATGCAAACGATACAAAACACAAATTTTTGTACTTTGAAATTCAAATAATAATAATAATAATAACAGTATTTTTTTTTCGTATCTACGATTATCAAACATTATTATTATTATTATTATTATTATTATTTATTTTGTACTGCATCGTCGATGATAATAATAATTATTATTTCAATTTGTTGACAACACCTGACGGCATTTTTTTTTTTTTTTTTACTTTCTCACACGCACAAATAATAAAAAAATTAATAAAATTTATTGTTTATTTATCATCATCATCATCATCATTATTATCATTCATCCTTCCAAATTTCTCCAGTTTAAAAACGATAGTTTTTTTTTTTATTACGTGGAAATAACGTTTTGACGCAATCTCATGATTAAACATTTTTCTGATTCATCAGGTACACTCAAGTAAAAGCATGTTGATGACGTAATCAATTTTGTTTTTAAATGATCAGGTTTAGGTCTTTAGCTAGGAGTGGTCAATTACTACAACTACTACATTATCTCTTTTAAATAATTTATGGAAAAGTTTAGAACATTCTATGAGCAGTCAGACTATTATTAAAAGGAAACCGTGAACTTGACAAAAAATATACGAAAGTAAAATTTTATTTATTTATCGATCGTAAAATAAATCGATAAAAAAATTTTTTTAAAATCGTTATTAGAAATCATCGATCGATCGTTAACAACACACCTTAAATTTTAATTTAATTTACTTTGACGCCATTTTGTTTTTAAAATTATGTCTTTAAATGATTGATTGTTTATATATATATATATATATATATATATATATATATATATATATATATAAATATACGTAACGTATCCGTTATGACGTAATGAAAAAATTCAATGAAAAAATTGTATTTTGACGTTAAAAATCCGTTCCCCTCCTCCCCCTCCCTTTTCGCCCTTTCATACAAAATAATTCTCATTTAAAAATATTTTATCGTGGCATTAACCGAATTTCTAATTTAGTAACGGCTAAAAAATTTTTTTTTAAAACGAAATAACTACGAAATAATTAATAATGATAATAAATAACGCGAAAAAAAGTTAACAAACTTTTACATTACAAATTATTATTATTATTCTTATTATTATTTAAAACTTTACAATGAAAATTTTACGTAGTGTAAATAGAAAAGGCAGACATTTTTTTTGCATCATTACAATCGTTTTTCGAATTATTATTATTATTATTATAATCAATCTTCGGGGAAAATAAAAAATAAAAAAAATATAAAAAATTTTTTTTTAAAGTTAAAATTTTGGATTTCACGATTTATTATCATTATTATTATTATTATTATTATTATTATTATTATTATTTATTTACGACGGGAATTTTTTTTTCTTTTATCTAATAATAGCTTGTCATGGAGACTATATATTAAATTTTTATTTAAAATCCACAGGCCTCTAGTTTGTTTTTAAAAAAAAAATTTTTTTTTTGGCAAAACACATAACGTGAATTTAAATTTAAATTTTTTCAAGAGAGAGAGAGAGAGACTAACGCGCATACTACCCTGATACATATATATATGCACGCGGCGTATTTACATTCCTATGGGCAAAAGGGCAAGTCTCGATGATCATTTTTTTTCAATGATGTAAACATTTAATGCGATATCCCACACTTGTAAAAATACATACGAATAAGTTTAGAAAATAATAATAATAATAATAACAAGTCATTGAATAATAACAATAATAATAATAATAAATAGTAAGTGAAAATGACGATGATAATAAGTAAGTGACATGACACATATTTTTCATTCTTTTTCTTTTTTTTTTTTTTTAAATAACAATCGATAAATAATTATTATTTAGTAAATGACGGATGTTGATAATAAAGAAAAACACGAGTTATTATTATCATTATTATTATTATTATTATTATTATTATTTTGTGTATTATGTCCTCGTCAAAAATATATCAATCGATTCGTTTTCCAGTTCATTTTACAGAAATTTTTATTCGTTTGTGTTTGTTTTTTTTTTTTTTTTTAAATTATTGATTTTATTTGTTTATAAAAAAAAAAAATTTTTTTTTTTTGGGAGGGGGCGGGGCGGGGGAAACTTAAATCTTTTGCCAACTTTTTAAAATAAATATTTTTAATGTCGAACGACCAAAAAAAATAAATAAATAAATGATAGATTTCACACGAACGGCGCATATATATATTATTATTATTATTATTATTATTATTATTATTTTCGTAATCGAGATGTTTGGCGTCGCGATTTTTATCGAAACCACTTCCAGAATTTCTTTTACACTCCCTGGAAAATATTTCTTTATGTACAAACGATTTTTTTTTTTTTTCATTTTTTTCCACATCGTTTCCGTTTCCGTTTTTGTGCCAATTTTCACTCTTTTCCCGTTTTATTTTTTCTCCGGGAAAACGATTAGAAAATTCCAGCATCTTCTGTTCAGTAAATGTGCGAATTCGTTTCATAAAATCGAAAATATTAATCGGGTGGTAACCGGGGGTAGACATTTTTTTTTTTTGGGCGTCTTTTAAAATATTTTTTTTTTAGATATCGAATAACCGGAAATGAAATAATCGAAGGGTTTTTTTTTCGTGACGGGAAAGGGACACAACAACAAAATTTCCCTCATTTTTGATTTATTTATTTTACTTCCTTCTCGTTCTGACCAACTTTCCCGAGGGTATTTCTAATATTGACATCGAGAACTTTATTTGACTTTTTAAATATTTATTGTTAAATTTATTATTATTATTATTATTATTATTATTATTATTATTATTTTCTTTCTCACACGCGACACAATTTTTTACTCATCGCATATCATTTTCTTTCATACAAACTTTTCCAAAATAACTCGGGTTACTCGACTCTCAACGGCATTTTTTCCACATGAATATTTTATTAAACTATTATCATTATTATTATTATCATTATTATCATTATTATTATTATTATTATTATTATTATTATTATTATTATTATTATTTTAAAACCGTCAATATGGATACATTATTCTCGCATTATCAATCATCATTCAGTTTAAAAATGTTTTTTTTTTTTTTTTGTTAAAAGATTATTTTTACATACCAATATAATCATTAATTTCATAAACGGAAATGGATGTATCTTTTAAGAGATAGTCGTTTCCGTTTCCTTTTTTTTATTATTATGACGGTTAAGAGTAATAATCTATATTTTATTTTTTTCTTTTTTGGATACAGTTTGGAGAATTTCTGGAAATCGTCCAATTATATTTGGACCACCTGAAAAAACTTATGGGAGTGGTGAAAATTTTACATTAATTTGCTCCGGAGATAAACCATTATCTTGGACTTATCCAGAATCCGTAAGTTTTTTAACAGACAAACAAACAAACAAACAAACAAGCTTTCTTATCTAAGTTGTTTTTTTTGTTGAATTTTCAAGGAAAGAACAATTTTTCAAGAAACGATTAACAAAACGAGTTTATCGAAATATGAAAGCATTCTTAATGTTATGGATACGGATTATCTTGCCACGGGTTACTACGAATGTAAAACCGATGATGATGATGATGAATCTGCAAAAGTTTACGTATACGTCGGAGATATAAATAATTTACTCGCGGTCAAACCCGAGGATACCATGTTGCTAAGAGTACAATATCAAGATGTTATAGTTCCATGCAAGCCAACCGCACCAGAAATAACAGTGACGTTACAAAAAGAAGATGAAATCGTATGTTAACACACACATATTGCATGCTTTTATTCCCGCCATAATCATAATCATCATTATCACGGCTGGTTTTTAATTATCACACGCTAATTAATAAAATAACCAACTCGCAATCACATTAAATCCTCTCACACGCACTCGCACACACAGTTTTTGTCATGGAAAAAAAAAAATAATAATAATACTCACAGGTGTCGGCACGTGGTTTTGGCGTTACTTTTGATCCTCATATTGGGTATCACATAAAATCTTTAAATTCTACCGGAGCTTACATATACAAATGCATGGGCACATATACATCATATGGCGCTTATGAGATATCATCTATGGCTATTTTTCATTTAAATGTATTGGGTAAGCACTGGAATCAAAAAAAAAAAAAAATTAACGTCATTTATGTCGTCATCGTCTGTCGTGCATGTTAAGTGTGTTTATGTTTTTCTTCTGCTTATACATAACTATTAAAAAAATTAATTAATAAATAATAACCGCGGCAAAAATATTTTAGGTATAAAAAAACCACATAATTATAACTCAGGAGGTTTATTTGTTATAATCAGGTGTGCATGAAAAAAAATAATAATTTTCTCTTTGTTTGTATGTATTCGAAACGCATGGTTATGTAAATAAATAAATTTTAATAATTTATTAATGTATTTTAAATTTTTGTAATTAAAAAATAATAATTAAAACGATTTGATTGATATTTCAAAACAAAAACAAAAAAAAGTTTTAATTTATTTAATCAATCGATAATTTATTGTGAATGACATTTTTTTTTTTTTAAATTCAAATAACCTAAAAAAATAGAATAAAATAAAATTTATTTATTTATTTATTAAAAATAATTAATTAATAAAACCGCAAAAAAAAATTCGGTTAATATTTATTCATTACACACATTTTATGTGGTTTTTCTTATCATTTTTTTTTCTTATCATTTTAATAACCGTTACAATCGAAACGAATTCAATTCAATTCGATTTTTCATTGCAAATTTTTATAAAATAATTAATAATAATAATTATGTCTGTAGAGAGAGAGAGAGAGGAAAATCATAACCTTAAGGGATTTTTTTTTTTAATTTATTCTCACGCCATTTTGTATATCACCTTTTCACCATTTCCGCGTAAAAAAAAAATTTTTTTTAAAAGAAAAATTGTGACGTATCGCGAGTACCTACCATTATTAATTTTTTAAAGGGTTGTAGGTACGATTTATAAAATAGATTTTATATTTCAGGTAAATGTAGAACCGGGAGGGTACGATCCAAAAATAGGTTTTACTTTATTTAACGTAACCGTATTGGATTCGGGTCATATATCATGTACTGCAACCAAAGGTTCACAAAGTCAAACCATTGAATTTTTTCTTATTGTCAACCGTAAGTTTATCCAACATTTATTTTATTTTTATTATTATTATTATTATTATTATTATTTGTTTAAACAAACGTATGGTGTCGGTGTTAATTAATAAACAAAATAATAAAATTAAAAACTTTTCCGAGTAATTTCATTCGTACGAAACCCCCAAAAAAAAAAAACTAATTTATTAAATTAATTAATTATGTTCTTACGTATTGGGATAATTTAAATAAGGAAGTTAAACATAATAATAATAATTCGATGTACTAAGACGTATCGAATAGATTTTTAAGAATTTTAAATTTAACATTAATAATAATGATTATTCTTCTTATTAATATTCGTCGAATCGAGTCAAGGTAAACATGGCTCTTGCATGTTGTATACTTATTATACGTTGCCCTTGTGTTATGTTCAAGAATTTACTTGTTTGCTTTTTCTTTTGTTTTTTCCTTTTTTTTTTTTTTGTTTAAATCTATCAAATTTGAATAAGAAGGAAGAAAAGAAAAGGAAGAAAAGAAGGAAGAAAAGGAAATAATAAAATTAAAAAAGTTTTACAAAAAGTTTCAAATCGAGCGTACGAGCAATTTTTTTTTTTTTTCGAGTAATAAAAACTTTTTGTTTTTTTTTTTTCTATTTAAATTTTCGTGATGATAATACAAAGTCATATAATTTTTATTAAAGTAAAAAAAATTACTTATTATTATTCTTGTCGTTGTTCTTATTTTTTTAACAGGTATTTCCCCCCCCTCCCTTCCCCTCCTTCCCTCCCCGAACTTATGTATTTTACAACGTCTTTTTTTTCCCCTATAAATTTTTCGACAAATAAATAAATTTGTTTAAAATAGTTTTTTTAAAAAAAATAATTTATATTAATTAATATAGAAATATTATTATTATTTTTGTAGTTGTTAGTATTATTATTATTATTATTATTATTATTATTATTATTATGCTATGTTATGAAAAAAAAAATTGTTGATGTTACCATAAAAAAAAAATTTTTGTTTCAATATTGCCAATAAAAAAATTTTTAAAAAAACAAATTTAATTAATTAATTTAATTAATTTATTAATTTATTTATAATTGCATGAACGTATAAATAAATAAATAATTGTTTATTAATTAAAATGGAAATCATTAATATTAATAAAATTTGACGAAAAGAAAAATGGTTTTTATAAAAAAAAAATAAGTTTTTGACTACAAGATAGTTGTTAATTAAAAAATGTTTTTTTCTTAATTATTATTATTATTTTTTTTTTATGTTTTGTGAAATTTATGTTTGCTTTTATTATGTCAAAAAAAAGTTATGTTTAAATGCATTCACGGCATGACAAATGAATGAATGAATGAATGAATGAATGAACGTGGAAAATTCGTAAAGTATCAAAAATGGCTGCTTTCATTTTCTTTTCTTTTCTTTTGTTTTTGTTTGTTTAAACCCAAAAATAAATTTAATAATTGTTTCGATCAATATAGAAAATTTTGTTATTAATAAATAATAATAATAATAATAATAATTAAAATCTCAAAAATAGATTTTTCATTGAATTATCAACTAAATTTCCTAATGGTGGTAGTAGTACCGTTATATTTCTTCTTCTTCTTCTTCTTTAATAATGTTAATAATTTTCATTCATTAATTCAAATAATTTTATTTAAAACAATAAAAAAAATGAAAAACAAATTGTTGTTGTTGTTGTTTGTATGTTTTAACAAATAACTAACCACGATATGACGTTTGTTTTATGAGAAAAAATTAAAATTTTTTTTTTTTTGCGTTTAATTTATATTCAGCTCATAGAGATGTGGCACCAAAACCGGAAATAGATGAATCTTCGATACAACACGTCGTTATAGGTCAACACGTACAAATATCATGTTATGTCAACGTCGAACTTGGAACTATATTTCTTTTAGACTGGACATATCCGGATATATCTTCATCAAATTCTACGGGAAGAATTATTGTTGGAAATACAACGCGACATTTTGCAACGAGTGAGTTTTTTTTTTTTTTTTTTTAAGGTGATAACATGATAAAATTTTAGGCGAACCACAATTTTTTTTATAAAAAAAAAAAAAAATGTTTACATTATTAATATTTGTTCAGTGATTTCTATGTTATATAAAAAAAAAATTGAGGGCAAATATATTTATCATGTATTTGCTTTTAAACTATACCACTTAGGGGTACCTGACTTTTACCACTGTAGGGTACCTAAAGTTCCCTTCGATTTGTGAATCCTTTTCATTATTTTTAGGCAATCAACAATACGTTTGGGAAAAAACATTAACCATATTAAACGTGAATGAAAAAGATGAAGGAAATTACACGTGTAGAATAAAAGATCATAGTAATAATACAAATTCTGATACGAAATACGTTAAAGTTTATTCTTTGGAAGATACTTATATTAATTTAACGGTACATTCGAATAGAATAGAAGTAGATGCAACACAACACGAAACGGCCAAATGGATATTAACGTTAATGGCACATCCATATGCAGAATTAAATTGGTATCGTTATTATGTTTGCAACAATTTTCCGTTTGTTAGCAAGTTTATAATTATTTGTTTTGTGTTATTTTCAGGTACAGTCCAGACGGTGTAAAATTATCACGTGAAACACTCGTAAATGATAAATACGAAATGAGAACGAAAGGATTTCAAACGACTTTGGAAATTTATGATGTTGATGTTACGGATGCTGGAAATTACACAGTCGTGGCATCAAATCACAAAGGAAAACAAATGTTGACGTTAGAACTCGTCGTTTACGACAAACCCGTTGTTAAAATATACGTCGAAGAATATTATAAAATAAATGAGAGGAAAAATGTCACGTGTAGAGTCATCGGGTATCCACCACCTAGAATAACGTGGCAATTTAAAAAATGCGATTTTGTTAAAAATGAAAATTGTTGGACGAAAACGTTCGATGGTATATCGGTGAGGAGTTTTTCCTTTCTTTCTTTTTTAAAATGATAATAATATTAATAATAATAATTTTAAAACAGGATTAAACGTTTTTAATCAAAGCTTTTCTTTTATTTTATATTGTTAATTAAAAAAAAAAAAAATCCCTTTAAGATGTATATTTAATTTCTTTTTTTATTGAATTCTATTATTATTAATATCAATATTAAAAAGAAAATTAATTTTTAATTAAATTTTCCTTTTTTTGTTATAAAAAAAAAAAAAAAAATTGATTTTTATTACAGGGAAATTCGATTCTTATAACGGAATTACAAATTCTCGGTTGGCAATTGGAATCTAAATTAGAATGGAAAATGTACGAACCGGGTATTTTAAATTGTGTCGCGACCAATGAAAAAGGAGTAGGAAATGATTCTGCAAACGTTTACGTCACAGAAGTATCACAAGGTTTTTACATAAGTCAACCCCCGAAGGAAATCGTCGTCGGAGATAACGTGACAGTTAGTTGCGGTGTCACGTCGTATAAATACGCACCAAATTTGCAATGGCAGTATCAAAAAGACAATTCAAAATCCACACAAAAATATTATAAAAAAGATATCGTCACGAATGAAAGTCACGGTTACGCACATTGGTCAAATTTAAATTTTGATAAAATCGGTAAAACGGATTCTGGAATTTATTCATGCGTTGCTGAAAAATTGGGTGATGAACCGGAAAAGGAAATAAAAACAATACAGATAAACGTTTTAGGTAAAAACTATAAAATCGATACACGTGTATAATAAAAAAAAAAAAAAGATTTTAACGAAAATATTGTTCATGTTTTTATACACAGAATTAGAAATCCCTGTGATTTACGATACAAATTTAACAAATTCGGAAATGACAATATCAAGTTGGCAACCCTTAGCTTGGAGGTGTGCTGCTCGAGGTGTACCAGAACCGACTATTACGTGGTATAGAAATGGAGAAATTTTACAATTCAACAGCAGTTATTCAAATTTTGAAATATTAGACGATAATCAAACGTTGTTGGTGAAAAGTTTAACAATGAGCGAAGAAGGGATTTACGTTTGCAAAGTACAAAATAAAGGAGGGATTCAAGAAGCATTTGTATCCCTTAAATTAAAAGGTGGAGTACGCAACAAACAACGCAAAAGTTTGTTTAAACAAACAAAAAATTTTATGATTTCCATTTTATTTCAATTACAGAATATCACAAAACAAAAATGACGTTGGTCGTCACGGTTGTGGTTGTTGCAATACTTTTAGTCATACTTTTACTTTTCTTTTTATTCGTTTTGTGGAAATTTAGAAAAGAAAAAAAAGAATTAAAATTAGCAGGATTGCAAAATTTCAAACAGGGAATGATTGAATCCATTAATCAAGATTTAACGTTGGATGAACAAACGGATTTACTTCCGTACGATCCAAAATGGGAATTTCCAAGAAGCAAATTAAAATTAGGTAAGAAAATTTTCCCTTTTTTTATAAAACGGGGAAAAAAATTTTCAAAAATGATTTTTTGACTTTTGTAGGAAAACAATTGGGATCTGGTGCTTTTGGAGTCGTCCTTAAAGCAGAAGCTTATGGTATCGTTGAAAATGAAGAATGCACGACGGTTGCTGTTAAAATGGTTAAGAAACAAGCAGATTCTGCATACATTCGTGCATTGGCATCAGAATTGAAAATATTGGCACATTTGGGAAAACATTTAAACGTTGTCAATTTGCTTGGAGCGTGTACGAAAAACGTACACAAAAGAGAATTATTAGTTATTGTGGAATTTTGCACTTTTGGAAACGTTCATAATTATTTACTCAGTCACAAAGATATGTTCATAGATCAAATCGATTTGGAAACTGGAGAAATTGATATAACAAAAGGAAGAATGGTTTCCGATTGTAACAGATCAAGGTATTACCCATTTTTTTTCTTATTTATTCGCGAGAAAGGTTTTTAATTATTATCAAAATTTATCAGCATGATTTTCCCTGGAATGTTTTGAGGTGATTGAAAAAAATTTTTATGGTTGGAGCAGAGCTCGTAGTAGTCGGTTCGCATGATACGCATTTATTTACGACATAAAATCATTTATGGTAAAAAAAGTGGTAAAGTACCCACTGAGAAGTACGAAATAACAACAAAACCAAATTCGCATGCGAAATCCCCTTTTTTAGAATTAAATGGTTGGATACACATTTTGCTTACGCTTTTACGCACTAACCGCTTTTTAACCTTAATTAACTTTATAACAGGATCAATTATGCAACTTTAACGTTTCCCCGTAGTGTAAACAGCGATCCAAATTCGGCATTGGCATCTTTTAATACGGAAACCACGTGTTTATCATCTCTACGATCAGGTACGTTGTTAATTTGTCACAAAAAAAAAACAGTTACACGGTTAATATTATTATTATTATTATTATTATTATTATTACAAAATGATCGTAGGTGCCGATGAAACATTTTCAACAACAAATAGTAATAATAATCCCGAATGGTGTGCTAATTTAAAAGGGGATTATTTACAAAATAATATTGAAATGTTATCGACGAGCACTCTCGTTTGTTGGGCATTTCAAATAGCTCGGGGAATGGAATATTTATCTAGTCGTAGAGTTTTACACGGGGATCTCGCTGCCAGAAATGTTTTACTAGCGGATAACAATATCGTTAAAATATGCGATTTCGGTTTTGCTAAATCCATTTACAACAATCCGGAATATCGTAAAAGCGGAGACGTGAGTAAAAAATTTTCTGACTATATACACGTGTGCGTGCGTGCGTGCAAAAGAGAACAAAAAGAAAAACATTTCCGTTTTCCTTTTTCAGGGTCCCGTACCTGTAAAATGGATGGCGATTGAATCCGTAACCCATAGGATATTTTCAACACAATCCGACGTGTGGTCTTTTGGTATAGTTCTTTGGGAATTATTTTCCCTTGCGAGAACTCCTTATCCGGGTTTCGAAAATTTCGAAGTTATACATAATAAATTAATTGAAGGGTATAGAATGGAAAAACCATTATACGCAAACCAAAGGCTGTGAGTGACAAAAAGTTTATAAAACTAAAATTTTCAACCTCGGTTATCATTATTATTATTAATAAATAAAAAAAAATTAAAATTTTTCTCATCAGGTACGACATAATGCTCGAATGTTGGGATGCGCAACCTTGTAGGAGGCCATCATTTTCAGAATTAGTTATGAAATTGGGTAAATTATTAGAAAATAATGTTAAAGAGGTAAGTGAATTATTATTATTAATTAGTGCTGCTGTTGCTACTGCTGCTGCTGCTGCAACGTGACGATTTTAAAAATTTATAATTTTCTTTTTAAAGCATTACATTCAACTCAACGATCCCTACGTGAAATATTCAGTGCCGGAAGGTGAAGATTATTTAAGTATGGTTAGTCCACCGACTTACGATGCACCAAAATCTCATTACGTAAATTTACCAAGTAATAATAAAACGACAAATAACGAATCCGAGGGTTCCGGTAAGTTAAACAAGCCAAAAATTAATAATAATAATAATAATAATAATAATAATAATAATAAATAAAAGATTTTTTTAAATATCACGACAGATTACTTGGACATGACTTCTTGGAATACAACACCCACAGGAAGCGGACAAGACTGTATAGAAATGAAACCAATGTTATCAGAAAAAGGTATGCGTCACATTAACTTTTAACCCTTAACATATAAAACCTATTTGTTTCATAACAACAGCAATTTTTAATATGAAAATTATTATTATTATAGAAAGAGAAGAAAATCATTTCAATGATGATTACCTAATACCAAGACACGCTTCGACTAATCTAACAAATTCAAATTGTGCATTTAATCCAAATTATTTAGTGCCGAATAGTAATAATGTAAATACAAACAATCCGGTCTATGGAAAATTAAATAAAATTATTAATAATGATGATGATGATGATGATAATAAGAAAAACGTCAATAATGATGATGATAATAACACCGTCAATTTTTTCGATAATTTAAATAATATGAGTGATGTTAATAAAAGGACGAAAAAAAATAATATTTACGTTAACACTTCGTAAAATCCATTCGTTCGTTCGGCCATCCGGAAAATTATTTATTGTTAACTGTCTAAATCAACAAACAAACAAACAAACAAACGCGTGTGTGTGCGTGGTGTGTGCGTGAGTGTTCATCAACAATCATTAATTAAATCATTTTTTTTATACCTTAAATTGTACCTAAAACGATGACGATTAGGAGATTATAAATTTTTTTTTATGTAATTTTATCGATAATACTCTCGTGTAAGAAATAAATAAACGAAAAATTTTTTTTTTTATATATATATATACGCCATATTTTATTTATATTAATAATAATAATAATAATAAATTTTTTTAATTATATAATAAACAATAATTTTTTTTTTTACAATGAAAACAAACAAAATTTTTTTTATATAAAGGACTAATAATAATAATTTTTTTTGTTTCCCCCCCCCTTTTTCGTTTTTCGTATTTATATGTATGTATATATATATATATATATATATATATATATATTAATATTATTATTTCGCAAACTTTACATTAATTTTTAATAATAATGATAATAATAATAAAGAGTTTTTACTTCTTTCAAAAAACAAAAAACAATTAAAATTTAATTTAATTTATTTTTTTTTTTTCAGAGCGCGAATAATTTTCATCCTTTTTAATAATCAAGGGCATAAGCTTAACAGAAAACCCCCCCCCTCCCCATTTTCTTTTCTTTTTCATATAAATAATAATAATAATAATAATAATGGGAAAATAGGTCGCGAAATAAAAACGCACGAGTATTTTTTTTTATAAACATTTTGTATGTATTTTGTTGTAACTAATTAATCTATACGACCATCACTCACATACCCAAAACAAATATATATATACATACATACACATACGAACATCATTTTTAAATAAAAAAAGTTCATTTCCGGTCGATCGATTCGCACGTTTCCCCTACAAATTATAACAAAACGAAAAAAAAAAACGAAAAAAAAAAAAAAATCAATATGGCGAGTAATAAATAAAAAATCTCAAAAACAAAATGGCAAGACAAACAACTATAAAAAACTAACAAATAAACCAACTAATAATAATAACAAACAAAAAAAATATATGTAAATTATGGCAAAAACTAAATTTTTTTCCTAATCAATCAATCAATCAATCATCTTCAACAAAAAAAAAATTCTCATCAAAATTAACGATAAAAAATTAAAACGAGGTAGAAAATAAAATGAGATAAATAAAATATGAATTAAAATCGACTATAAATTATTTTAAAAATAATAATAATAAAATCGTGGCACCAGAATACTCAAAATAAAATATTAATAATAATAAGAGATCCGACAAAAATATACTTTTCTAACCAAATTAAAAAAATCCAATTAAAAACAAAACAAAAATAAAAAAGTGGTGATGTAATAATCGAATTGAGGAAAACCAAATTCCGATAAAATCGATATTAAATTCTACATCGATCGATCGATCGATTTTACATCTCTCGATAATACGCAATAAATAATATCGTCATTACACGTTTAAAATAAAATAATAATTAGCGTGACGTCATAGGTAGTCCGACACCGGAAAAAATATGTTTTTTTTTTTTTTTTTTTTTTACTCACTTATTGAGTGCGTTTCCAGGAGTTGTTACGCGTTGGCAGTGATCCTACTACTTGACATAAATTTACGTTATAAGCCTAGGCGAATGAAGTCCCTCCACTTGTTTGTCAATGGGGGGACAATGACTTTGATTTTGAGGTCCCCAATCGTTTAACACGCTAGAATGCGCTAATCTGTGAATGAGTCTGTGTGCTATTTGATACCCTCCACTAACTTCTAATTGTGTTAACACTATAATTACTTGTCTGGAAAAAAGAAAAAAGAAAAAAATTATTTTTCCCTTCGGTTTCGTCGTTCGATTGCTCGATGAAATAAATAATTAAATACCTATGCAAGGGAGGCACTGAATCAACCGTCATTAGTTCACCCCGAGTGGAAACCACGTTAAAACTTTCCTGACAATTACATTTTACGTGTATCCATTTATTTTGGTGTCGATTTTCTACGACGACGACTAACCCGGCCCAACCTTTGGTAAGGTAATACGCCGTCATTCCTTCTCGCGCCTGGTAAATTTTAATTTAAACCGTATAAATATTCCATAACGATAATAATAATAATAATAATAATTAAAATTTAGCACAAGTACCTCGTGACGTTTTCCTTTGGTTAGCGTGAGGCTAATAATGGCATCGGCCAAAACGTGATCCGGTGCTGCGATTTGTTCCACGACTAAACCTTTGGAGCTGTGAATGGCTAAAACGTATTCCGGATAATTGGCCGCATCGTCAATTCCTACAAATGAATTTTTAATAAATATTAATTAAAAAAACTAATTTAAAATTTTCGAAAATAAAAAACTCACATCAACTAAATCTTACCCGTGTGCCAATGATTAAAAGCTAAACAAACGAGAATATAATGTTCCGGCTCCAACATTTTATAACACCCGACAAATCCTCGCACTTGGCGCTTACTGTGCTCCACCAAAGGTCCAATAACAGTTGAAGAAGATCTTGCTCTAAATACCACTACGCATAAATCTAATTGCGATCTTTGAGATTTTTCCGAATTTCTAAAATTATATTAAATAATGTCCGTAAGTAATAAAAACTAAACACGCCTTTATAAACGTCCATATTATCCTTCTTATTACCTTTGCCCCTCCTGAAATAAAGTAAATTCGACTTCTGTCGGCTCTAGTACGGCAAGACGCACGCACGACAAGTGTTTTAATGAAGACATTGGAGGCAAAGTTCCATGAAGTCTTACTTCGCTCCATCCGCTACGAACTTTACAAATGTCGATACAATCAAAGTACCTAATCCGCACAATGTCATATTATTAAATAATATTCAATTAGTTTTTACGTAAAAAATAAATTTTGAATTCGAAACAACAAAAAAAAAAAGTAAAACCTTAATACATCCTCGAAAGAAATCCAAAACATTCCGTCGGAAGCTCCGTGTGGCATAAGTTGTTTCTTTAAGAAAGGTGTCCATTGCGGAGAATTGTCCGACCAATCTCCTTTCCATGAATAATGACCCCACGGATTCCTCAATTTTAAAAGTCGCACACCTTCGACATCAACCACATCAAGAACAGAATAAGCGTGCCTGAAAAGAAAAATTAAGGTAAGTAAGTTGAATGCGTACATACGAATTATTACCTTTAATTTATTTTTACATACCTCGGCCTTAAACCCTTTTTCTGATATTCTTCTTCATCGACTTTCATATTTCCTCCTCCGCAAGAAGCTCCCATTAAGAACCCGGCATCTCTTGACGAAAGCAATTGCACCCAGACCAAGTCTTTATCTAAATCGTATTCAGATGGAGGAGATGACGGTTGAAGAGGAATGCTTTCGCAAGGAGCTCCAGTTAACGTGGCCAATCCTTCGATTGCTCTACCAGAAACTAATGCTTCGTAACAACCGTGAATTTTAGCGACGGCTTTTTCAATCAGTGGTACCCACAGTTGTTTACGTTTAGCCTGCATATTCCACATTTTTAATCAAAAGTTCAAAAATAAATCGAATTAAATTAAATAAAGTAAAAAAATAGAGTTCAATTCAAAAACTAATATTTTCTCACCTGAGAATATACTAAATGACCCCTTTTATCGCAAGGTAACAAGTCGTCCACCAAAATTGTCAACCATTTTCCATCTTTACACAATCGAACTTGATAAGCACCTTCGCGGCAAAAGTCTCTGGTTACCATTATTTTTTGAACTAAATCATCTCTTTCGGCGAGAACTGCCAAAGCACTTAATAGCCAACAATTTCCTAAAATACCTGTTTAAAATTTTTTTTTTTTTTCATTTACATAAATTAAAATGTTTGATTTTTTTTTTTTTTTGCAGGGATCATAGTAAGTAGAATAGGAGGAGCGTGAAAAATTTTTTTTTACCTTGAGAAATATCACTAGGCTTTGGAGTTCGAAATACCATCCAATTTAAATTACAATCTTCTTCCAATGCGATTTGGTGTGGTCTCAACCATTGAACCACGTGATTATCTTTGGTATCCGCAGGATTGTAATACAGAGATTTCGGAGTCGGTGGAAAAGAATCATCGACGTACAGTCCACGAGTCTACATAGAAAATTTGGCTTCTTAAATTCTTATTTTTTTTTTTTTTTAAAGAAAAAGAAATTGCGAATTATAATTTTTTAAAAAATGAATTACCTCCTTGCAAAAATTAATAATTTTTTTCCATTTTTCCAATGCTTGAACCTCTTCTCCATGTCTAAGATCTTCCATTAATTCACTTTCTCGTCTAAAATCAGTCATTAAAAGGTCATCATTAGCAACAATTCGATCTTGAATGGTTGTGGTCATTAAAATAGATCTAAAAAAATAATTTTAATAAAAAAAAAAAAAAAAAAAAAAAAAAAAAGTGTTTTTAGTTTTCACTCGACAACAACAACAAAAATTTTTTTTTTTTTTTAAATGAAATGAACGTTAAAAAAATTAATACCTAGATTCTTCTAAAGAATTTAAACAATTTCTTGATCTGTAACACATATCGCACACGTCTGATGACCCAAAGTTTTCGTAGGTACAAGAAACGCAATGCCAAGAAAAACGTGTAACATCTTCGTCATTTATTTTTATTATCGGACTAGTCAAAACGGTCTCCTAAAATTTTAAAAAAAATTTTAATTAGAATCACGGTTATGTTCTGCTATGAATCCATTAAAAAAATCATCATCATCACCTGATCATTATTAGAATCTTTGACAGAAATTTTCGGTTTGTTTTGAGATTGATTTTTGGACATCAATGTTATTCTCCTGTGACCAGGTAATGGATTTCTCTGTTTTGGAATAGCTCCAGACATGTGTTGCTTTTGAAGTTTTGATGAATGATTTTCACGAGGACGAGGAGAAGTACTTCGAGATGCTGCGTGATTAATGAAAAAAAATTTTTTTTACAAATAAGTCACTTTTTTTTTAACCGTTAACTGCAAAATGCATGCTTACTATTTTTGACAATTCCAAGTACATTTTTATTTGCTTTGCAAGCGAGACAAACCAAATTACAATTTCGATTTTTTAATGTACACTGAGGACATGACCAAAATTCACCCTTTCTTAAAGTTGATTCTTCTTCGGTTGATAAACTTTTAAGTTTGGAACCACCACAGGCCAGGCAAACGGTGCAACGTCCTTCATTTTCCTGTAAAGTTTTTTTTTTTTTTTTTTTTTTTTTTAAATTAATGGGAAAAACTTTATTAAAGTTGCAATCATCATTCCCTAATTAAAAACCTTTACTATTTAATATTCTTACCAGTGTGCACTTTCTACAAATCCATTTTTCTAAATGATCATTGTTGTCATTGGTGATGAATACGCTACTTCCATTATCCGTCCGTTGATTGAATGATTGAAGATTTTTTTCTTGCCTCGATGAAACAATCGTCGATAGACTTAACGTAGGTGGTAAATTAAAATTGTTTTCCATTTTGTCTCTTCTAATTAAATTATCGTAACAAGAGCTATTATTTCTTACAGGTGTATATATAACACTGTCTTTTGTTACTGTTATTAAACCAGGTTCGGTTAAAGAGGGAGGAGATCGAGTTAAATTACAAATATCACAAGAATTCGTCCAAAGAGGATTATATGCATAGGAGCACTTGGTACAAGTCCACATTCTTTCCAATTGATTTACTTTAGTAATTTCACAAGAATCTTGATGATTGGTATCATTTTTATTTTCACGTACTAATTCATCGGATAAACTTCTTAATTGCGAAGAATCTTCAAAATGAGATACATTTTTGGTGTTCTTTTGTTTGTCCAGAGCTTTGTCACTTGTAGGCCATAATTCTTCATAATTAGAAACTTTTGAATTGTTTCTCACATCTGTTAAATCAATAATTATATTTGAAGATTTATTATGCACATTATTTACATTTTTTCCAATTCCTTTACAAATAATTTCAGAATTTTTTTCAGGGGGTTCCCATTTGTTCCCATCATGAGTTGACATTATTGATTTTTTATCGCAAACATTTGATTTTGAATTCATGACAGATATTTCTGGAATTGATTCTGTAGTTCTTAATGGTATTTTTACAGATTTTTGATCACTATAATTTTGATTGTATGATGGCAACTCAGAACATTTTACCGATGGCAATAATGGCTGATCCACAGAGTTTTTCTCAGAATTTAATTCATCGTATGAAACAAACAATTTTCTCTCTTTCACCGAATCAGTATTTTTTAATTCGTTATCAATTGGTAATGATCTGTTGTTATAACCGAGAAGTGAGGTATCACTTTCATTTGACACATTCGTGAAAGGTTCTGTAATACCTATGTATGAGTATTTAAATTCTTTTGATTTCGGATTGCAGGGACTTGAATGCGAATTATTAATATTTACAGTATTGTTAGAAGCAGAATATAAAAGATTGTTTTGAGTATCTGTTTCAATCAAACTTTTTCTATTGTTTGATAATTTGTTGTTTTGTGTTGCATCAGAATTTGGAGTGTTCACTTCTGAATAACACCTTCTAAATGTTGGCAAGCTGTAAAGGCCGTGAGATTCTAAATTCATATTATTTTCTTGATTGAGAGATCTTATAAATTGAGTATTCGTTTTTATTGTGGAATCTGTCAAAGGTGTCTTAATTGTACCATTGTTTTTAAGAGGATCTGCATCAGCATTGTCCCATTCTGGTACTGTTATAACAACATTACTTTTAGAATAAATTCTTTCAGTGTCGGAAATTTTTTTTGGAGTTTCACAAACTTCGCATCGATCTGCATCACTAAAGTTTTCCAATGTACATCTAGAACATATCCATTTATTTATATCCGATGATATTTTTGTTTGATTTTTATGATTAGAAGAACAAAACAATCTAGAACTATTTAATTCGCTGTCATTTTTATTTATATCCGTTTGCATTTGCTGATGATCCACTGATGAATCCACAAGCAAGCTTGTTGGGCGTTTAAACAAAGAAGATTTGGCTGAATTTTCCAAAAGAAGTTTATGTACAACACTTCCATTCGAAAGAGAACGACTGACTTTATTTTTAACTCTCTCATACATGGAAGGGCTTTGCCTTTTAGGTGAATGATTGTTTGAAAATGAATTATCTTTTCTATTAATTGAAGAGTTTAAATTTCCTACTGTACTACTACTTTTATTTGACGTAACTGAATTTGATGAATTTGACGAATTCGTTGTAACTTCTTGTAACCAATTTGATGAGAATTGATCCATTCCTGTAGATAACCTAGCTTTTTTTTCTAACTTAACATTTAAATTTTCTTTTATATTAAAACCGCATCCAATACAGCACGAGCTAACGGTTGAGTTGAACAATCCGCAATATTCGCAACTCCAACAACGACTTATTGTATTAATACTGGCAGATCTTTTCAAAAAATTTGACTTTTTATCTAAGTAAGAAAAATTTTTTAAAAAGCAATTATTAAACTTATTTTTCGATTCTGTTCTATTATGTGTGAAATCTTGAAAAGATTTTTTCTTTCGAATAACTCCGCATCTCTCACAATGTAATCGTTCTGTCGGATTTATGTATGAACAATTATCACAAAACCATTGTAGAACAGAGGCAATCGAGCCCATTTTATAAAAACCATGGCTAAGTTTTACTTTAAAACTTTTATTTATAGATATATTTAAATTAAATAAATATTACTTAAACACTTTTTGAATTTCATTACATTTTTTTTTTACTTGTAAAAAAAAAAAATAAAATAAAAAACTTATTGTGATGTTTAACTTAAGCTGGAAAAATCCAATTACATTTTGCTCAGCAACAAAAGAAATTTATTCTAAACGCAGAATCAATGTTTCTTATCCTACGCCAATTTAATTTTAAAATTATTTTCGCGGGTTTTTTTTTTTTGAATTATTTACATTAGACCTCCTTATCTTTAAGTTTTTTTTTTTTTTTTTTTTTTACAGTAGAAAACATTTAAATTATTTTCAACTTTATAACACAATTTTAAATTTTTATTTAAATGTTTTTGTGTTTTGAAAATTAAAAAAATGTGTAAAATAGGCTTGAAAATCTTAAAAAATTTTTAACTGGATTAAACTTTTTTTATACATAATTGTTGCTGAAGGAAAATTTTACCTTAATTGACAATTTGTTAAATTTGATTATGTACTTGTTTTGAATTATATTATAGTGAGATAAAAATAAATAATTTTAAATACTACCCCTTTGATTTATTTTTTATATTTTACTGTAAAACCATAAAACTTAACAAAGGCAATCACTAAACTAAAAAAAAAAAAAAAAAATTGAAATAACCTTAAAACTACAAACTTGTTGATTTCATTAATTTTTTCCTTATTTTAAAATGAATATATCAATGTTGCCAAATTTTATTGTGATGTCTAGTTATTTATTAAATTACTATGAATTCTTAATAACTTTAATTAGGCTAATTTTGTAATTTTTATTACTTGTTAACAAATCAATTGTGATATTTACTATCAATTGGCTTTGAATCAGGACAAAACTTGTTTTTGGGATTCGTACAAAATGTACATTTAAAATTTACAAAAAAAAATTAATAATTTTAAACGTTTTATTAAAAAATTATATATTCAGTAAATAAGAATTAGTTAAATGCAAAATCATTACAATTATTTTGCATATATATATATATATATAAAACAAATTTTTTAATAAATTTTTGCCATAATAATCAGTATTTAAAAATTTTAACAGCGGTATAGCTAAAACAATCGTTTCATTTTTAACATAATATACAATAAATAAAATTATACTTTTATCGAAATATATATATATACAAGAGGCGTTTCCCCCCCCCCCTTCAAACATTTTTACTGAAGACAGGCTTGTATTTTATCAATCCATTCTTGAGCGGTAGAAGCATCGTTTGCACAAAAATTATAAGTTCGCCTACAAGTCCTCAACTACAAAAAAAAAAAAAATAAAATAAAATGGTAAGTAATCAATATGGGGGGGGGGGAAATTTGTTTGTTTAACACAAATTAAATTAGCTTACATCAAAGAAAGCTTTTTCATCTGCTTTTTTCGGAGTACCTGGACCTGGAGTGGCTGATATGACGGATACTACTTCACCTAAATCTGAGCAGACGAAAAAAAAAAATCAATACATTAATGTCTCAATAATGCTCCCGATACCATTTAATTATTTAATTAATTACCAATGTATCCTTTACAGTGTGAATCTTCGACTGCATCATAATATCTCAATTGATGCTTTATAGAATCCAAAACAAACCATCTTTGTTTCCATCCTTTCAAAAGAGCTCCCCTTTTATACAAATACCCCTCGTGAGTTCTATTTTCCGCCACGTTGGAACTAAATTGTTCGTAATATTGATGACTGGATGCCTGAAATACATTTTTACTCTTAAAATCACGCACACAACCTTAAAATGTTTTTTTTTTTTTTTGAATGTTGAACTTATATCGATACCTGAAGAGTCGTTACATTAGAATTAACTGAATTTGTGTGACCGCTTCTTGTTAATGTTTGAGTTTGATTGCCCTCTATGGCCTTATATTTTGTACAATTTTTGGGTACGTTTTCCGCACATTTTTCGTGGCAACTATATCCGCAATCTACGCATCTCACTCCAGTCTGCAAAAGTGCACATGCATTTAAGATTTTTTTTAAAATCACACACGAATAAAAAAAAAAAAAAAAAACCTTAAAATTTTGAATTTAACAACGTACCTTAAAAGGACCCCAAAAAACATTTGGACAAGCATCGCACGAAGTGGGTGTAGTATAATTATATTTTTCAAATCTATGAGGATGCGAATAAGCATAAGACATTTCCGTTGCTCCTTCGATTTTTCCTCTCAAAAGTATTTCGAGGGTAGACCTTTTGTGCAATAAACGTCCGTGATATCGTACCAATTGAGTATTAAAGGAAGAGTGTCTCTGTAAATTTTTTGTTAAGTAAACGTTAAGATAATGTCACCATTTTTTTTTTTTTTTTCAAATGCTCAAGATTTTACACAATTCTTACAACGAGGGAATCGGTAGACGGTATTTCTAATTTATCCCAAAGAACTTTCCACTTTTGAGGTAAATGACCTAATTCAGTTTCCAGCCTGTATATTTCTTCCAGTACCTGAGAAAATGCTTCGGGTACATTTTTTTCTACGGTATCGTACCTAAAAGACAAATATAAGAAAATGTCTACGGTAAAATTGTTAACCTTAAGATGAATCGAAATAAATAAAAGTAAATAAAAATACCCAGCAATGACGGTTTTTCTCAAAGATTTCATTCCCACTTCATTGGGCTCCGTTTCATCATCTTGAAGATAATCCATTTGAACAATTTCGAGATCGTACGGGGGTCCATGTGCCAATTCTTCGTTTAAATAATAACCCCAAATTTCTAATTTTGGAATATGCGATGACGGTCTCAAAACCTTAAATTAAAAAAATTAAATATTTTAGATAAAAATTTTTTTTTTTTTTCCAATTCCTTTATTTTTAAATGTTTTTAAAAACTTACGGAATTTTCGTTGTCAGGTGTATACATAAAATTGTAAAATATTGGTAATCTCATGTGTTGTTTTTCAATGTAATCAAAAATTGATTGTCCCAAATTAGGCCCCTGACTCGTTCCTGATAATGATTACGAAATTTTAATAAAAAAACTATTGCTATAATAAAACAATTCGTATTTTTAATAATTATATACCTGCAAGTCTACCTCCCGGATAAATACTTTCATCATCCGAACCGCAAGTGTCTACCCCTTTATGATGAGTAGGTAAACTACCGCGTTTATCTTCCACAGCCGTTATGCCACATTCGACCCTTTCGCATTCGCAATCTAAGAGAAAAGTCCGAAATCTGCAGGAGACTGAATGATATGCTAAAAACCTTAAATAAAAATCATTGAATTCAAAGGCTAACGGAAATTGTTTTTGAATTTGATGCACGACATCCAAAAATTGGATGAAAGTCGGAGCGAATCCGCTCGCGGGAGAATTCGTAGACAAATTGGACCGATGAGAAAATCTATATCCAAAAGCCAGCCATTCTTTTTCAATGAGAACTCTAAATCCGTCGATCGTTCGATAGTAAGGATCCAAACAAAGTTGTGCAACTGAAGAAATCTGAAATTAGGAAAAGTTATGTAAAAATTATTATTACACCTTCTTCTTACGATTTTTAAAATGAGAAAATTATCCGAATAAATAATTTTGTTTTTTTTGGTACCTGTGACGTTATATCCCACCCATCTTCCAAAGACAGCAAAACAGAAGAACCTTGCATGTCTATTAAATCGACGACGGTTCCGGAAATTTGCATTATACTTTTAATTTGTAGTAGCCATTCTGAACTTTCGACTAACCTGTAATAGCAAAAAAAAGTAAACAAAAATTTTCATACATTATTTAAACTTTAAAAATAAAAAGAAAAAACATTTTTATCAATTTTTAATTACTTTAAAAAAGTTTGCTCCGGTTCAGGGCTGACGGAAGATGGAATGCAAGCTCTCATAATTTTTTTAAAAGCAGCCTTAGTACTCCTAATATCATAATAATCCAAGGGAATAAAATCAGTCTTTAAATTTGATTCAGTTTTAACGCCCTAAAAGAAAAAAAAATTTTTTTTTTATTTTGCCAATAATATTTTAAATAATAAAACTAGTTTTTTTTGCTGTAATTTAACCTTCGTTTGGGTTTTCTCTCCCAATATATATAAAGGAGATCTTTGAAATATTTGCACGCTATCAGTTCCAGAATCACTATCACCGGATAATCTTTGAAGAGGCCTCGTTCCCGCATTTACACTTGCTAAAGAAGCTTGAGAACTGCTTTGACGACGATCTTTCAAAGAGCCCCATCTCCCAAAATTTTTCGGAGCTTTTCCTCCGCTGGATCGTGGGAAAACTCTAAAAAAAAATTTTTGCAATACTTTTTATTACTGCTACGTAATCCGAAAGAAAAAAAAAAAAAAAAAAAAAAATTATACCTACCCTAAAGTTCCCATAGCTTTATTAAAGGGATTACTTCTTCTATTACTTTCAGGAGTTGTTAGGCTCGTTTGCAAATGATCGTCTGCAGCTAAAACTAAAGAATCTATACTCAGGTTACTATCCGACATTCCCCAAGTCCCTCCTTGACGTACAACGGAAAGAGGAGTTGCAGCTACCAATTCCATGAGATATTTTTCTTGTTCAATAGACGATGCAGTGTCAGACGTAGCGACTGAATTTAAAAAATTTAATTAAAATCGTAATTACGTCACCGTCGCCATTTTATACTCCGAATTTAAAAAAAAAAATACCTGTAGCCGTGGGATGGCCTTTTAACATTCCCATTACGCTTTTACCATAAGACCTGGCAGCTCGAACGAGTAAAGCTTTAGTTCGCGGATGTCTCCAAGTTACAACGGGAAATCTATTATGCCTATAACATTGACAAATCCGACGAAGAGAATTATCTTCGATTGCAGCGGGAACCACGAGTAAAGCGGGATAACTGAAAGTATTACAAACGATTTAAAATTATAATTCACTAAAAAAAAAAAAAAAAAAAAAATCCAACGGGTTTTACATAAGTTTGTACCTTCGACACATAAGATACCCAGCGTTTACGGATGTAATTCTAAATAAATCATGTTTTTGTGTTTTTGAATTAAAAGATGCGTCGTTAGTCAACCCCAAACGATGCCAATCTCTTACGTAGCTTCTTTCTGACAACCTTTCCAAAGTTTTAGCATCCGTAGCTTGAGGTGGTATACTTACAGAAGCCGTCGATTCAAATTCGTCAACTTTAATGTACAAGTTAAAATTTTTTTATAAGATAAATATTAAAAATTTCCAAAAAAAATTAAACTACAAACTTGATAAATCATCTTGTTCGAATTCGACCGATGGCAAACTCATCCTTCCGGGAGAAGTTAAATATTTTTGACTGCTCAAGTTTGGAAAAACGTATTTTTGCCTTTTCGAAGACGTTTTCGGTTTGAATCCAGCTTTCCTAGCAGTTTTCAATAAAGTTTTCTTTGCAAAACCCCTAAAAGAAAAAATTTTGTTTTTAGAAATGATATCGAATTATTAATAAAGCTAAATTCTCACTTTACACAATAACAAACAGTCTTCAGGTTTATTTTTATCCAATGTTTAAAAACATTGAACCTGAATTAGTGTTCGAAGATAAAAAAAAAAAAAATTTTTTTAGGGTACTTACTTAAGAGTAACATTTTTTTCTTTTCCTTTATGAAGAGGAGTTTGAGATACCACAACCTGACCGATAAAAGCGAAATAATGAAAAATGTCAGGAGGATGGCGAACTTTTTGAAGCATTTTTCTAAAGCTTTCTATACTTTCTTGCGTAACTTCTTCGTCAAATGCTAATTTCAATAGCTGTAATTTTAATAAGTGTTTCGAAAAACATTAAATAAAAAAAAAAATTAAATCAATAAAATTTATCTGAAATGAAATATTATTTTTTATACCTGGAAAGTACAGGACCTCAACTGAAGGCCTTCATTAAGCCATTGCTCTAGATGAGGTAAATATTGAGCATTGTTCACTCGTTTTTCTTTCGTCAATGAAGTAACCGGAAAAGCGCGGACAATTAATTGTTCACAAGCTTTAAAAAAAAAAAATAAACAAGTCTTAAATAATTTTATTAATAAATAAAAAAAAATATGAATTTATTTACTAACCAAAAGGGTCACAAGGTGTTCCTTTAAATATAATCCTATAATTAGTTAAAAAAATGGCACCTTCCGCCGGTAATAATGGAGGTCCTCCAAAAGTACCCCCGGTGACCTCATCTCTACCATCAGCCAACATATACACTCTTAAACCTTCCATTACTAAATCTTCACCCGGCAGCATGGTTGGAGTTAAAATCTTTGGCTGAAATTTAAAATTTTGCTCAAGTTTTTGAGTATTTTAAGGTATAAAGATATAAAAGTTTAAAACTAGTAAAATTTTTAAACGTACTTTTTGTATTGGTAATAATCTTTTTGATTCTTTATAAACAGCATCTAAAGTTTCGATGTGCATGTGAACGACGCCGGGTATCATTAAATGCAGAGCTCTAACATGTTCGTAACTCACTCCACCTTCCGTACAAACTTTATCTACGAATCTTGATACCGTGCGAATGACTGCTGCTCCAGTTTCCCCGGGATCAGCCTCTTCGAAACCTGATTCTGCATCTGCACTATCACTTTCTGCAACGCTGAAATTTCGATTTAAATAAATAATTATATTAAACTATTTTTTAAAAGTTCATCCAATTAAAATGATTGACTAAATGCAGAATTTACTGAATTAAATCAGTTTAAAATTTTTCATAAACTAAATTTTTTTGTAAATTTAAAAAAAAAAAAACAAATTACCTATTGGTGTTGCAATTACTTGTGCGTTCTTCGTCTAAATTAGATTCTTGTTTATGTGCTCGGCTTGCTATATCCAAGGGTACCAACAAATAAACCATTCTATTCGCGTAATGAATAGCTTGACTGTATAAAGTTGACTCTTCGCTGCAAACAAGCTCTTGCTGTTTTTCTATTACGAAAAACGTTTATTATTACGTTATATTTTTGACTTTAGGTTCAAATTTAATGTTTATATTTGCAATACCTGGAGTGTATGCGTTCCACAACCGCATTTGCTCAGCAGCTATTTCTAGGGCGCTGGGTTCTTGTATACGACTGTAGTTTCTAAAAGGAAACTCTCTTGAATCTCTCGGGCTACTTGGTGGCAAAGAATTTATTTCCATTCTAGGCAAGTACAGGGCTTTAATGTCTCTTTGAACGTCTTGGTAAAAAGCTGATTCCCAAAACTGTTGATTTTGCCAAACAGGATGTTCCTACAAAAAGGAAAAAATCTCGTGATTTTATAATCTTTCTAAATAAAATAAAGTACAAGAAAGACAGAAGATTGGATTTTAATTATAAATACCTGAATGCAGGTATATGCAAATTGAATAACACCAGTACATAATTTTCGACAAAAAGCCGTTGATAATGGTAATAGAGCAGCTGCCACTCCGTGTTCATCCATAGCTGAATCGTCCTATAAGAAAAAAAAAAATGGAATTTTTAAAGCTTATAATATTTATGAACGTAAAAAAAGATTTTAATTTTCGGCTGCCAACCTGAAGAGCACAATTCATTAAACGAACTACTAAATCAAATTGTTGATGCTCTAACATAGCTTTATTTCCAACAACATGTTGTGAAAGCTCTGAACACAAAGCCAACCTAGCAGCTTTACTTTTAAGCGCTCTACCAACAGCTGGAAATGTTTTTCTAGCGTCTGAAATTTTGTTTTCGAATATGCAGTTGATGCAATTCTTTAAAACTTCGAGTCGGCGTGCTGAATCGGAAATACCAGGGCGATTATCGGATATGGTAGATATGTGCGGACCGTTCGGGACTATTCTCGGTTGTGCAGGCCGTAAAGAAGATAACCTGTTGACAATATTTTTTTATTTAGCTTTGTTTGGTGCATTAATATATTTACCATATACACAACACTCGTCAAAAATCAATTCGAAAACAACTTTTTATTTTTAATAAGAAATTTCTATCATGTATTAGCTTACCGAACCAATTCATTAGGTCCACTTCCCCTCCTTTTTTCGGTTAAAATAAAAAATAATTATTAAATAAACCATAATAAGCATTTAAAATATATTGATAAGGACTAATTTAAAGAACCCAATTTAAATGTCACAATTATTTTTAAAATTTGAATTTACCTTGCTTTTAAATTGTTCTTAATCATTCCTTCATCTATTATCGCTTGAACTTTTGCATAATCCAATTGAGGTAAGGGTGGATGATGAATTCTCGTAAAAGCTCCTTCTGGAGGTTTAAGAATTTTTTGAACGTACGGCTGATGATTCGGATTTTCGTTGACGTATAATTGTTGACCTAATTCCTAGAATGTGTAATTGAATCTATAGTTGTAATATTACATTTTTAAAATCTTTCATTATAGAATTCAATAACGCAAATAATTAACAAAATATAAATAAATTATCCTTATAATCGACCAAAAAAATGAAATCTCATTCATAAAAAAATTTTTTTTTTTAAAATTAAAAATGTAATTTCGATTTTTAAATAAAATATACCTGAATATGATTTAAAAGTTTTTTCGGATCTTGCGTTTCGATTTTGAGTAATTCACCAATATTATTGTACAGCTCGTCCCAAACATCGCAAGGTCGCCAAGGGGGTCCTCTTTCAGAAACAAAACCAGTGAAAAACATGCAATCAAGTACTCGAGTAGTAAATTCACAGTCAATTAACGATCTTTCTCCTAAAAAAAAAGACTAAAAAAAAAAAAACGAATATAAATGCGGGAATCGTGTTTACTGATAAAACAACTTTAAAAAATTTTTTTTTTTTTAATCATTTTATAATTTGATCTTTTACCTTGTGAAATGTTATAACTGGTTTTGGATATATTCTAATAATTGTCAGACAACTGCGATATCCTTGAAATAATTGTGCAAAAGTTCTCATAAATACGGCACGTATTTCTTTATCTAAGAGTGCTGGTTGTGTTTCCCTCATTGCCAGAGGAGGGAAAGCATGATCCGCCCAGCTTAATTCCGGTTGGAGAACAAGGGACAAACTCTCTTGCGTTTGCGAAAGAAAGGGTTCTGGTAACAAAGGTAAAGAAACCCTGTCAGGAAGTTGAATAGATCCGCCATCTAAATCCGCCACAATAACATCCATCTAAAAGTTTAAATATTCATGCTGAAATGCTAGAAATTACAATAATTGAATAAAAAAATAGTGGAAAATTATTAAATATACCAAATCTGATATTTCAGGTTTAAGAGAGCTGTGAATTCCCATAATAAATGGAGTAGGAGTTGATATAACTTCAAGAAGAGCAGCAGGTAATAACGGAATATATACATGAGTATATTTAAATGGATACATGAGAGCTGTAAGAGCTCTACTCCCTTCAGTCAGACGTGTATAACTTTTTGAATGAAATAAAATTTTATGTTCTGTCATAATGGCACAAAATAAAACTAGTACATTTCTTATACCTGCCAATAAAAAAAATGTCTTCTTTTAAAAAAAATTAAATTAAAATGATGTTTTAAATAAGTAATTTAAAGTATTACCTAATTGTTGAAACAACAGATTAACAGAAGTATGAGTTACAGGAAGAGACGGAGACAGTGGAGGCTGCAATGCTTGTCTATCACCAGCTCCTATACTAAATCTGACTTGTGGTCCTCCTGGTGGAGGAACTTGAATACATCCTAATATATTTCCCACTAAAGTTTCCAAAGGAACATTAATATTTTCAATACATACTGTGTAAATCAAGCCTAAGCAACTCTACAACAAATTTTAATTGAAAATGAAGTAAAATTTACATCTTAATGGCACTTACTAAGTTTATTTATAAAATACTAATTACCCTAAAAGTATCAATGTAATCTAATCTTGAAACTAAAACTAAACATTTAGGAGCATACATAATGCTGTAATGTGAAATTGGTAAAATGGATGTTCTTCCTAAACTTCCAAGCCTTTCTCCACTTTCATTTTCAAGTGCATCTTCTTCTTCATCAACAGGTTTACTCGGAGTTATAGATACTGTTTCATTAAAACAAAGGCATGCACAGTAATGTCGGTTGGCATCAATATCAGTTAAAACTGACACAAAAAATTTTGGCTCTTGTCTTTCGGTAGACAGTGCCCAACCTTGAGGTTGACAAAACTAAAAGCAAGTTAAAAATAAAAAACAATACATATTGAATTTAAAAGGGGGGGAAAAAAAATTACAATGGATTATTTTATTATTATGACCGATTTACTTATAGCACTTCAATTTATTAATGTAAATTTTAAATCAAATAGTTTTAAATCCAAATCAAAGTAATTAAAGAATAAAACATGTTAATATTAATGATTGTCATAAATAATCTGTTAACAACTTGGAATTACACATATAAATTGTAAAATACCAACCAATTCAATTCCTTCAATGAATGGAGTGTCACTCCAGTCTGTGTTTGGAAATCTTTGTAATATAACACCATTGCTTACTCCACTTCCTATAACATAATAATATTGCATTTTCATTATATTTAAGGGTATTGTTTACTCCAGCATGCTTAGCTAAGGAAAAGACATTGACTTTGACATTTGTTTTATTTAAAAATAAAATTTTTAATTTTAAGTAATTGTCTCGTGTACTTACTTTCTTTACTGTGATCGTACCCAACAATAACAAAATAATCAGCCAACCGTGACATTTCAATTTCTTATGTGATATACAAAATTACAGTTTCTAATATCAACCTTCTATTTTGTCAGCCATTATTTTTCAACTGACTAAGACAGGGAAATTTCATTTCCACGCCCAAATTGAATTTTATTAAATTTTTCGGATAATTAAAACGTTTTTATTAAAAAAATCATCAAATGCACTCATGGCAAAAGTATAATAAAAAAAATCTAATAATCTGTAAAATTTTTAAAAATGATCATGAAGGCATTAATTTTGTAATGACATTTATAAATTTACTTGAGGTTTATGTAAAGTGGCAGTAGCAATGAATTTCTGAACAATAGCAAATCTAAATTTGAAAACAATGTTTTTTTATAAAATAAATTTTAATATTATTAATTTTTAATTATTATCAAATGTAAATATAAATATTATTCATAACAGATTTCAATCAATTATTGATCGTATTTAATTTCAAAAAATTTTTTTTTATTTTAATCTGATCTATATTTCAGGTAAATTGATAATAAATAATTTTTTTTTTTTTTATTTATATGAAACATTATTATTGCTCAGTAAAAATTATTATTTTCTTGTCTTGTTTTTTATTATTAAAAATTGTAATTAATTTAAATAATTAATAATAATTAAAACAAACTAAGAAATTTTTTATTTAATTTTTTTCTTGCAGAATTCTCTTCGTCCGTAATTACTTTGATGGAAGCAGTTTCAATGTATTATATTTGAAGGCTTACAAGAACTCAAAAATTATTAAAAGACATTATTAATAAGAAGTTATCTGACAAATAATAAATTTCTTTTTTTTTTTTAAATAGAAAAAATAATCAGTTATTCAGCATCTTCATTTTTTTTTTTTTTTTTTTTAAGCTAATTGTTTTAAAAGTGTTATTCTTATATGTTGCACAATTTTTTTTTTTTTTTTTTTTGAATAATATTTAAATAATAGTATTAATATAAAACAGATTAAACATGGCAGGTGTAAAATCATTGGTGGGTCTAGCTTTTGCCGGATCTATAGGGATGACTTTTTTGATATTGGCTTGCGCATTACCAAATTCGTGGTGGCCATTTTTTGTACTTTTCTTTTATTTTCTGGCAGCTGTGCCTACAGCGATAGCTCAAAGGTGTATATCCGAAAGTTCAGGAGATCCTTCTTCTTATATGAACCCTGCTATATTTTTAACTATGGGCTGTGTCGTTTCTGCATTCGCATTGCCTATTGTATTAGCAAGGGCTCCTCAAAATATTATTACAATGACGGCTTGCTATTTAACAGTCGCTGGAAATGTAGTTATATTTCTCACAATATTGGGATTTTTTATGATTTTTCAACAAGAAGAATCAGGATATTACTAATAAAATAATAAAAATATTATTTAACAACAAAAAACAAAACAAAAATGCTTGTATAATCTTGTGCATTAGTCTAATTTGTAACTTTTCCGCTATTTATTATTATTTACATTTTGCTATTTTAATTTGTATATATGATAAATCTTATTAATAAAAGTTTATACATTTAAATTTCAGTTATTAAATTTAATTAATTATTATTATTTGAAAAGAAATTATTATTTAATTAAATTAAAATAAAAGTTAAAAAAAAAAATACAGAAAATAAAAATTATTTTTAAAAACTGACAAATATTTATGTAATATATTTTTTTTTTTTTTTTTTTTTTTTTACCTTCCTTTGTATTTATATTAAATAAGTTTTATAAAAAAAAATTTTTTTTTATAAGCTATTTTGTAATTTTTAATAAAATATATTATTATTTTTCTGCTAAATAATTTTTCATTGCAATATTTTCTTTCCTAATTCTTTCATTTGAATTATTCGAAAAACAAAAATGGAGAAATGTCGTATATATATAGAAAAAGAAAGAAATATTTTAACAAAAAAAATATTATATTTACAACTGTACACAAAGATTTATAACATTAAAATTTAAATATATACAATTTATTTCATTTATATATATATAGAATATAAATCATGCCCCTGTACAAATAAAAAGCACAATTGTTATTTACAATTTCATATTAATCGACTAAACAACCTTATTTATCGAATAAGAATAGTTTTGCCAATTTAAATTTAAATTTAATTTATTTTATTATAAGAATACTTGAAAAAATTAAAAGTGATGTTATTATTTAATACAGTATTTCTATCAAAATTTAAATTAATTTTCTTTTTTTTTTTTTTTTTTAAACAAACCATTATTAAATAAATAAATAAAAAAAAAAAAAAAATACAACATTGTGTTTTTTCCCTCGATAAAAAATCAATTTTTTTTTTTTTTTTTTGGTATCATTTTCAAATAAATTTTTTTTCTCTTTTTTCCACTTATATATTTTTACAAAATAAAATAAATAATTTAAATATGAGAGAAAGAGAGAGAGAGAGAGAAAAAACCTTTTTTATTTAATTTTTACAACACAATATTGTAATTTTTTTAAATTATATTTTTCTTGTTATTTGTATAAGGTTGTGGTGAGTGCCGCATAAGGTTTACTCTTATCAAAAGGCAATTAATGATAATTTTCTTTTTTTTTTAATTATTAAAATAAGTACATGAAGATAATTAATAACAATACCTTAAATTGCTTCGTTTTTTTTTTTTTTTTTTTTTTTTAACGGTTGATAATCAGCCTTTGTCAATCCAGACTTTCACTTTGTTTAGTTTTTTTTTTTAAAATTTTTGTTTAACAAAAACAACATTAATGAATTTACTACTACTACTACTACTACTGCCACTTCATTTTTCATTAATAATAAAATTTTTTAATAATTTCCTTCATTTGGCATTATTTTAATAATTTTTATAGCAAAGAACCTTTTTTTAGTTAATTAGTTAGTAAGGCAATTTTTTTATTATAATTATTATATATATATATATATATATATTTAATCTAAATTATTATTATTTTTTTTATAAAATTCATGTACGAAAATACGAATTTAAAATAATACGGCTATTATTATTAATATTATTATTATTATCATTAAATTTTCCTTTAAATTTCTAAACGATCAATCAAAAAAAAAAAAAAAAACCGAAAATATTAATAATAATAATAATAATAATAAAACGATTATTATTTAATGTGATGTGTCCGATAAAGAAAATAATAGCCTGGGAAAATTAATTAACATTTTCCTTCCTTTTTTCCTTCCTTTTTTTTTTCCTTTTAAACATATATTTATATTTTTTTTGTTTTTTTTTTTTTTGCAAAATCAATGATCGACTTATTTATAAATATAAATAATTTATATATATATATATATAAAAAATTTTACATAACACTGATTTATATTATTAAACCTTTTTTTTCCTTTCTCAATGTATTTTATATTAAATAAATAAATAAAAAAAATCTGACTTTACCCAATGAAATGTACACAACATCATCTTTTACCATAAGAAATAATAATAATAATAATAATAATAATAATAATAATAGTTTTAATTCAAATTATTATTATCTTTTTTTTAACCGTAAATTAATTTTCTTTCGTATTGATTTTTTTTTTTTTTTAACAAAACAACGCGTTGTTTTTTATTTTATTTTATTTTTATTATTATTATCACATAAATCGAATTATTATTATTATAACTAAATTTATTATTATTATTATTATTATTATTATTATTATTTATAACTTCGAAAAAAAAAAAGCCTTTTGCGATTCTGAGCAATATCCGTATTTTATATATATAATAATAATAAGCTACTTATTCGAATCGGTTGTAGCATTTGATCGTCGTCGATGTTTTGCATTTATCGAAGATGGTGAAATGGGTCTTTTCTGATTTTGTTGATAGCACTGTTGAATTTGTGCTTGCTTTTGTAAAGCAAGTTGAAGCTGAAATTCAAAATGGCGGTCAATTTAGAAAAGAAGAAGAAGAACAAAAAAAAAATTATAAAAATCAATCATTTTACCTGTTGCTGAGCGGCAAATGTCAAAACTTGATTGCTGTGACTGGCGTTGACTAAATTGCTAGAATTTCCCGTTGTTTTGACATTTTTTTGAGCATTTATTATTCCTCTTTGAGAAACGGATGGCGTAGTTTTATTACTTTGATTTTGGGGAGCAGACGATGGTCGCGTGACTGTTTTTTGCAATGATGAGACTAGTTGAATTGATTGCTGAGTACTCTGTAATTCAAAAAAAGAAAAAAAATGTATAAGTCACCCGGATCGATTAGAAAAAAAAAAAAAAAAAAAAAAAATCGGAGTCGAACAAAACGTACCTGAGCCAAAGAGAGTGAACTCGATGTAGACGTTCTTTGGTTAGCATTCTTGAGTCCTGAAGTCATAAATTGAGCTAAAAAGGTAAAAAATATTTATTATAAAAAAATTTCAAATTTCAAATTTTGTTCAGAATTTTTTTTTTTAAAAAAGTTATCACGTGAAAACTAACCGACTGGAAGAGACAAAACATTACCGTGACCACCAGAACTTGATGAGTTTGTGGTGAGTACTATGGGAGATGCTGATGAAGTAGTTGTGGTGTTTGTTGTTGGTGCCACAGAGAGAGATGTCATTATGACACCTTGAGTACTACCTCCCTGTCCTCCGACATTTAAAGACAGAGATATTGGCACTGCCAATCCAGGTATCGAGACCTTGAAATAATTATTAGTTACATTATTCCCTTATATATGTTTTTTAAATATTAAATAATAATAAAAATATATATATGTACCTGTACATTTTGAAGCCCGGTTATTCCTTGCAAACTCAAACCTTGAAGATTTAAACTTACAGGAGTTGTTCCTGGAGGGCTAGACAAAGGACTAGTGATGCCCATAACTTCCTTGGAACTGGGACTTGAACTCTGAAATTGCATTTGGCTTTTCGGACTCGAAGATGTGAAATTTGATGCGGGACTCGTTATGTTCGACAATGGCGAATTTGAATTTGTCGAATTGAATGCGTTACTATTTGGACTAGTGGAAAATGAACTTTTTTGAAAGTTAATATTTTGATTTGGACTGAGAGCGGATACGTTAGGACTTTGAGGAGTTACGGGTAGCGGTGGAGAACTGAAGGCTGCTGTTGTATTTGGCGTAGATGAAGTTAATCGTTCCAAGAGAGAACTTGAGGTAGACGCGCCTGGAATTGGATTATCTGCAGATGGAGTACCAGCTAATAAAGCACTTAATCCTGGCATTGAAAGACCTAAATTCGAATTAGAAGATGAATGTCCGGCGGCACTTATATTTACATTTGTCCCAGAGTCAATATTATTATTATTATTATTACTTAAAGCTTGAGATAATTTACCATTTTCACTCACTAACTTTATATTGTCACTAAATGTTTGTGAAACACCATCATTTTTATCATTTAATTTTTTATTTGTATCCGTTAATAGCCTATTGTCACTTTTTTCTAAAAGGAGTTTATTTAATTCACTATTTTGAGAAGCGTGTTGAAGAGCATTTGACAACCTTTTTGGACAATTCACTATTCTACCAGTATTTAATCGGGTGCTAAGGTTGCTTGCATTAATAATACTGTTGGTGCCACCACTAATATTTCCATTATTATTGTTGTTGCTGTGGCTGGTATTGTTATTAGTTGTTCCGTCTTTAACATTTTTATTGTTATTTACACTATTATTATTATTATTATTATTATTCCCATTGCCATCAGAGCTATTACTACTACTATTATTATTATTACTACTATTATTGTTATTGTTATTATTGTTGTTATTATTATTATTATTATTGCTTTTATTTCCTAAATTACTATTAACGTTCAAATTTTCATTGCTTTTGGTAATAACTGGAGTGGCTACCGTGAAATTTTGATTTTTAGCGTTAATTGCAAAGGTTTGATTCTTGTTAATTAACACGCTATTTTGATTTGTTATATTTTTCTGATTGCTTTGGTTCGAATTTGTAAATGTTTGATTGAAACTAGATTTTGGGGATGGAGATGGGATGTTAACGGTGAAAACTTGACTAGGTAAAGAAGAATCAACTGTAAAAACACTGTTTGCACTTGAAGCCTGAGAAGTCGGATTGAGTGTGAATGTTGAATTGGAAGATTGTGAAGAATAATTCTGATTGGATACTGATGATTGGCAACCTACAAATTGATTGGGAACTGTCACAACCGGCGTTGTGATTGTAAATGTCTGACTGGTAGTTCCGACATTATTAATTTGAAAAGTTTTGTTTTGCACCGGCGATATATTACTATTGGTTATGGTGAAAGCTTGATTCGTCACGCCCGTTTGAGCATTTGTAACGGTAAAATTCTGATTGGCGACAGGGGTTGTTATTGTAAAACTTTGATTTCCTAAATTCTGATTGGGTTGAAGTACTGTAAACGTTTGCGATTGAGACCCAGAATTTTGAGTTGATGATATTGTGAAACCCGCATTTTGTAATGCGGAATTCGAATTAGCAAGATTGGTAGCACTAGCGGGAGATATGGTAAAACTTTGCGGAGACAAACTATTTGAATTGGGTGTGATTGTGAAAGTTTGATTTTGGGTTTGCCCGAGAGAACCTAGAGGAGGAGCATTTAATGAATATGTTTGATTGGATACTGCGTTGGGAGAAGTTATGGTAAACGTTTGAGAATTGGCATTTGCTATGGTAAATGTTTGAGTGGTTAAATTTGTCGTTTGAGTAGCAATAGTAATGTTTCCTTGAGTTGTGGCTAACGCGAACCCCGCACTAGACGAATTATTAATTTGACTAACATTTCCAAGATTTAATATTTGAGTACTTTGATTTTGCGAAATGGAATTTTGATTGCCAGCATTCATTAACTGATTCAAAGATGACAATGTCACTCTTAATGGCTGAGAATTTGCATTATTTACAACTAAAGTTTGATTTCCGACATTATTGTTCAGCACAGCACTTATGTTTTGATTAATTAATCTCGAACTTAATAAATTAGTTATAGTTTTTCGGTTTATAATTTTTGACTTTGCTGATTCAAATTCACATGTGACGTTGTTAAAACATTATTGTTATTTATATTTATTGGTGTTGTAGCATTTAGTAAACTTAATATTGTAGGATTTTGATTCGTACTCGAACTAGATGATTGATTGATATTATTTGCCGAAGGTTGAACGTTGGCACCATTATTTGAATTATTGGCTGCTTGCTGAGCAGCTTGCTGTACTTGAAATTGCTGAGCCGAATTCATCAAGCTAGTTACTAATGCGCTTATCGCCGGATTAGTAGCTAATGGAGGACGAGATGCCTTTGATACGGGCAATTGAGATTGTGCAGGTGGGTGATGCTGAAAATTTAATTTTTAAATAAATTAAAGGAAAAAAATTGAAATTTTTTTTCTTGTGATTCAGATTCACTTCAATAATCTATTTCAAAAAAAAAAAAAAAAAAAAACTAAAATTATTTTTTACTTACTACAGTTGAAGTAGAACTAACTGTTGTGTTTTGTGAAGGAGTAATCACTGATGAAACAGGACCATTTGTCAAATTGTTTAAACTTTTATCACTCAGTACATTAGTACTTAAAGCACCACTTAACAAATTTTGAATGGTCGAATTCCCAACGTTTTGATTTGTAATTCCAATGTTTTGTACATTGACAACTCCCGATGAAATATTTTGTACAGACTGAGTTAAATTATTTATCGACTGACCCGAGATACCTATTACAGATTGCCCCTGCTGAATTTGATGAACATTTACATTTGGTGGTGCAGCAACACTTGAATTAGCTAGTAAACCCGTCAAATGCGAAACAGAATTAATCTGAATGTTTGAATTTGAATTAGGACTCTGAGGTAATAAGTTAGTGTTAGAAGTTAAATGTCCTTGAAGTTTTTGAATGGTTTGAGAATTTAAATTAAAATTAATTGTATTAGGTGAATTAGATTCCATGATTCCTGCTTGCCCACTCATCTGTTGTGAACTTTGTGCCAGTACATTTTGCAAATTTTGATTCTGGTTTAAATTATTATTCTGAGTATTATTAATTACTACCGGCGATTGCTTTCCGTGAATGGCTACAGAAACAGGTTGTACAGACTTTTTGGCGTAGGCAGCATTTCTTTCCCTCATACCAGGAGTGTAAGAAACATGATGTTGTTGACCAGGTACTACATGAGTTATTCGAACCGACTTCCTACCCTCCTCGGTAAAAATTTCCGTAAATTGTTGAATATAACGATTAGCATGAACTCTAGTACCAAGTACAAATCTACAAAAAAAAAAAAAAGTCTTTTATTAGCTTTACATTTCTTCAATTCGAAATTATCAAAAATTTTTATTTTTTTGTATTGTTCATTGACTATTGTTAAAAACTTGATTTATTCTTTTTTTTTTTTTTTTTTTTTAAATTACCTGCATGAAGCACCAGTTCTTTCCCCTTCTTTGTAATCTCGGTCAACATACAATTCACCAAGGTATTCTAGGTTTGAATGCCTTTGGAGTATAGATAATTTAATTCTATAAATCCTTCCCTGCCCTCTTTCTGTTTCCAAAATGTATTCTTCGATTAAATGAACACTACAATCCGTTGTTTCTCTTGACTTTTCATAATGCTTAGCAAACTTGAACACATCTGGCTTTATAGTAGGAGGTGGAAGTGGTACTTTTTCTTCAGAGGGCACAGGAGGCGGTGGGGGTAATCCATCACTGATCTGTTTTAATTAATTAAATATGCATTAAAACACAATCACATCCAATAATTATTAGTAAATTAAAAAAAAGGATTAGTATTTTCTTAGGTACCTTTTTATTTTGTTTTCCAGAATTTGCAGCTCTTAGTTTTGCCTTTTTCCGAGTAATAAAATCAAATAATTTCAAGGTATTGTGAGATGTAAATTGGTCTAATTTCCTTTTTCTGTTTACAGTAACCTACATGGTAAGAAAATTAGTTAATAAAGTTAATTGAAAGTTAAAACGGTGCATAAACAATAAAACCTTAATTAAATAAAAACCTGAGAAAACTTTTTAGCAGTTCTCCTCAATGGAACAGTTGAGAGTCTTTGTTTTTTGTGCTGAAGATTGTTTATCATTATTCCTACAGCAGGATTCGGATCCAAACATAATGGTGGAGCAGTTGCTAATATTAATTGGCTTTCTAAAGACAAACGATCTTCAGCTGAAAAGTCTTGAGAGGAGCTGATAATATTCACATCATTAATAATGCTCTAAAATATCCATAAAAGTAATTAAATATAAAAAATTTTATAATGTAAAAGAAAAAAAATTTATTTTAATTAGTATTCATTTACCTGAGTAGTAGGCTTTAATAGCACATGGTGAGTTTCAAAATTAAAAAGAGGAAAAGTTAATCGATAATCTCGAATTTCAGCAATAACACAGCCCTGATAAAACAACTCTGAATGATTGGTTTCAAGCAAGTCAACTAATGTGGCGGGGATTTCCTCATTATCAATACATCTAAGTAATTCTTCATCACTGTAAGGCCATCGCATTGTTTCTATCACTGGTTCTGATCCCTGACTTCTTCCCGCTTGGTTGCCCAAAGCTAAATAATTCATCAAAAATTTATTGAAATGTAGGAGTTTTTTTTCAACTTGATACATAATTTTAAATATTTAAATAACAACATAATTATTTAAATATTATGAAATAAGTAATTTTAATTACTTACCAGCAGGTACTTTGCCTTGTAGTCGCAGACTTAAAGAGTAGCCTTTATTACCTGGATATAAATTAACAATTAATGTGTTTAAATTATCTCTTTGAACTAATTTTTCTAGCAATCTTGATCCTCTTTTTAAATTTTTTAAGGGTAATGATGAAGTAGAATAAGGCTGTGTATTACGACATTCTTCAAGGTAAAGCTCTCTAAGGCGTTGACGAATATTAAAAACCCTAGATTTCCTGGGTGCTTCAGCCAATATTTGAGTCTGGACTCCATTAGACCAACTTGGTCCTGGAATAGCTGTTGAAGCGGATAGAGTGACTTCAGTATTGCAGCTTTCTGCTTTTTCCCTCAGTAATCCAATTTTATCTATTAAACTCTAAAAAAAAAATTTTATAATTTTATAATTATTATTTTAAGGATGATTCAAATTAAAATCATTTTTAATCATGATACAGAATACTTGTTTTTTTTTTATTATCCTGAACTAAAAAACATAGCAAATTGTTAAGTAAAAACCAAAGACATAAAATATAAAATAAAATGTTAATTATTGCTCTTGAAATATAATACTAGAATAAATAGAAAAAAAATTTTTTTGTCAATTTATTGTAATATTAATGGTAAAAAATTTTTTTCTAATTATTTGTTCCCTCAATTATATTTAAATATTTTACTTAATTTTCTAATATATATTAAATAAAATTATAATTTAATCTTACTTGTGCTTCATTGCAAGCTGCCTCTAAACTGTGCATGTTGTGAAAATTTGTCTGCACTACTTTTCATTCAGCTGATGGGAAAATTGACAAAAAATCATATCCCTGAAAAAAATTTTGAAGAAAAATGGTTATAAGTAATTATAACAACTAAAAAAATTTTAAAAACATACTTATATTTATTTTTTATTTTATATATTTTTTGCCATTACATATATATTTAAACAATATTAAGATATAGATTTAAAAGAATATTAATACTGCTTTAAAAAACTTGATTTTAAAATTGAAGAAAATATTTAAAACAAAAAAATTTCTGAATCTTTCAAGTCATTATTATCAAATGTAAAAAACAACCAAATTTATAAAATTCTATATTATTAGTAGGAATTGTCCATTTATATTTCAAATTCCTGAGAAATACATCAATTTAAAATTATTTATACTTTATCAAATGACAATGATTTAAGATATAAGTACAAGATCGTTTTCATTTAACTAAGACAGTCTGACTGTTGAAAATATTCCCAACATTTTAAAGGGAAACATTTACATTAAATTATGTGTTTACTAAAATACTTGATTCATTTCAGAATTTGCCCGTTATAAAGTTTAAACTCACCTTACAGCTGCTGTGAGCAAAGATATCCCAGTCGGCCATCAGTGAAGCACGGACGGACAAAATAATTCTAAATGTAGATAGTTTGATGACCGAAGTCTCACAGCATTTAATCTTATTTTTTTTGGTGATATTTAAGTTTAAATATCGGTAAGATAAATGATATTATCTTTCAAATTCGTAATTTTACAATATTAATAGTGCAAAAAAAAACCCAGTTTACAAACATACTTGGCCAGAAAGCAATGGCCTCTTTTGTTTAGCCAACCTAACTTTTCACAAAGATAAAATACCTGCAAATTTTTGACAATATGAGCGGCAAATAAAACGGAAATTACAAAAACTCATTTTCCGTTTATTTTAATAACAAATGTTATTTAAATTTAAATACGGATTTACATTTAAGTGTTGGAAATCGTTGAATAATTTAACTTAAAATGAGAGAAGCGATTTTATCGAATTGCGAAAGAAATTTCATTCTGAAGGCAGCTTCAGAATGTAAGGTAAAGAAAATAAACGAAAATCCATCAGAACGATTTTAGGCAACTATAAGAAAAATTAAAAATTATTTTTTTGATTTATTTAGAGGTTAGATGGCAGGAAATTAGAAGGTTTTCGAGATTTAAAAATTCATTTTGGAAAAGACTGGGGCTTGTGTTATGTTTCTTTAGGAGAATCAAAGTAAGGTGAATTCATAACTTAATTTTGAAGCATTTTAATATTTAGTATAAATATAATTTTAATACTTTAAACTAATATCATGCCTATAATATATCTAAAATAGTTTTAGCAAAAGGACGTTAAATTATTTTTTAATTTAATTTCATTCAAAATAAATCGGAAATAAGATTTCTTTCTTTTCTCTTCATTTTAGAGTAGTGTCTCAAGTAAAATGTGAAATTCAAGAACCCCAAGCTGTAAGACCAAATGAAGGATTATTTTTTATGAATGTAGAACTGAGTTTAATGGCGTCACCATATATTGAACCTGGAAGAGCTTCAAACTTAAGCACTCACATTCAGCGTTTACTAGACAAATGCTTATATGATTCCAAAGCTATTGATTTGGAATCTTTGTGTATTGTCGCAGAAGATAAAGTTTGGGCAATAAAAATTGACGTTCATGTTTTAAATCATGATGGTAATAAATTTTTAATATTTTTTTTATTAAAAAAAAAAATTTTTGATTTTTCAATGTTTTACAAAACTACTTTTAACTTAATTTAAGTATTTTAAAAATGGTAGGGAGCTTAGTAGATTGTGCTTCAATATCAGCATTAGCAGCTTTAGCTCATTTTAAAAGACCCGATGTAACAACGGATGGAGAAGAAATTAAAGTTCACAGTACTGCAGAAAGAGATCCAATTCCTTTAACATTACATCATTATCCAATTTGTGTTTCTTTTGCTCTTTTAAACAATAGGTGCTTTATTTTTGTTTTTCATTTTTTTATTTTTATAAATTTATTAAATTTTTTAAATTTAAATTTTTTTTTCCGTTTTAGCGAAAATATTTTTGCCGATCCTACAGAAATTGAAGAAAGAGTGTCGGATGCTAACTTAACTTTCGGCATTAATGCATATAAAGAAATATGTTGCCTTCATTTGGGAGGAACTGCTTTAATCAAGCCAAAATTAATAATGACATGTTCTCTTAAAGCAGCTGCTAGAGCAAAAGAAGTAGTCGAATTAATAAACGAAGCAATTAAGAAAGATGCCGAGGCAAGGTATGGACGCTTAAAAATACACTGACGTAAAGTAACATTATTTATATTATCTTTTGTTTAAATAAACCCCTTTTTTAGGCATCAGAAAAAACCTGTAGGTTTTGTTAGTGATTTTAATTGGGATAGAATTACTGCTATGAGTGAAAAAAGACTAAAAGTTCAACTGAGTAAATTTGAAAATTATGGTCATCAGTCCAACCTGAATGGGAGTGATTTAAATAACGTAGGAAATTACAAAATAACTAGTTTAGGAGATAATTGTGCCGAACTTGAATTAGGCCCTACAAAAATGGAAGAATAATAAAATATTTATTATATTATTATCTAAAACTTGGTTAATTGTAATTGAAAAATAAATTTCGAATTGGCAGTCACAAAACGAATTATGCTCAGTTATATTTGGAATAATTTATATTAATTAGAAAATTGAAACAATTTTTTTAAAAGGACTTTTAAATAAATATACTATAACTAATAAATAATAAAAAATAAGTCTTATAATTCTAAATAACACTAAATTAATAGTTATTAAATTACATAATAAATTAAAAAAATATTAAGTAAATTTATGAAAATATTTAATTTAAACGTCTGGTTTTGTTATAAAATATTATTAAAAAAACATGTTTAATATAACAAATTATAAGATAATAATAATAATACATTTGTATAAACATTATGTAATTAAATCAGTACAAGGTAACTAAATAAAATTGAAATGCTTTAAAAAAATAAGCATACTGAAATTTTCCAGTTTTTTTTTTGGCACAATAATTATTCACAAAAATAAAAAATTAATTTTTAAAGATTTGTAAAATAAACAAAAAAAAATTTAAAAAAAAAAAAATTTTTTTAATTAATTAATTTACTTAAATAGGAAATATATAATTAAAAAATAAAATTTTTTACTATTATATTATTTTGATTTATGTTTTTTATTTACAAATAATTATAAAAAATATGTAATTAAAAACAATTATCTAAAAATTTATTTAAATATATATTTTACTCTTAAATATGTTTTTTTTTTTTTTTTTTTTTTGTAAAACAACATGTTGTGCCAAAAATTTTACAGTAAATAAATTTCACTTTTACCGATTTAATTTCTTTATAGATTTCAAAATAAATAAATAATCGTCTTATTATGATAATTTAAAACATAAAATAATTGCCTTCACAGTCGAATAACTAGGCTTTTATCATTTCAAATTAAACTAATATACTATTTATACAATTAGCTAAGTATTTTCATTAACACCATTTTTCTGATCTAATTTGTTGCTGTTTGATTTTACCATATAAATAAAAAATGTAAGAGTTTCTTTTTCTACGACTGGAATTGTTTTTAAATGTTTCATTAAAGTCTGTAATAAAAAAACATTTAAGTTATGAGATGTTGACAATTAATTTTAAATTTACTTATTGACAATTTAAAAAAAAATGTGAAAACTAACCTCTGCTAATTGAGTTTTGTTCATTGTAGGTTTCGATGGGATTTTGTAATGTTTTTTATACCTTTTAAGAGTGTTCAATTGTAATTGATTTAAATCTATTTCTGGCATATCAATATCTTGTTCATTAGAATCATCTTCAGAGTCTTTCCTTCTTCTTTTTGTCCTAGCTGATTGAATGACTCCTTTATGATAATCACAAATATATATGTGTTTTGCCTAGAATTATACCAAAACTATGAAATTGCCATAGAATAATGATATGCTTTTTGTATGATATTAATTTTACATTTGAATAAACATATATTAAAATATTTATATAAAATAATGCAAGTCATACCAAATTATCAATGTGCAGTTTTAGTCTTCTTTGTGTAACTGTTTTTTGTATTCTTTTACTATACGAAGCATTTCCTGCAGGTCTTTTACAACGTTCGTTGTCGTCAACTAAACAACAAATTTGATCAGATGCTCCTCTAGAGTCATCCTCTCCCGTACTAAATCCGTTCATTATCATTTAAATGCCTAAAACAACCATTCAGCGGACTAAAAAAACTTAATGTTTTTTAACTTGAACGTTTTTTTTTTTTTTTTTAAAAAAAAACAGTTATATATATTAAATTTACACCAACAATTTATTACATTTCTATAATTTGATTTGTAAGACAAACGTTATTTGTCAAAAATTACTCACAATAACTATATCACAAACAGATTTTACATAACACAAAAAAATCTGTAACATAATAATTCATATTTATTGTATTTTTTAAAATACACTTTTATTAAAACTTTAAATAAATAAAAAAAAAAAAAAAAAAAGCAAAAAATATTGTAATCGCTGTTTGTGTAAAAATTCCAACAGATTTTTAAAAAATTATTTACGATAAAATTTTGTATTAAAACATTTGAAAAAAAAAAAGTAATGAAAAGCACAATTTTATTTTATTATTCTTAAAATCTGATAACAAATACTGAACATAACTAAAATTCACAATCAGCTGTCATGTAGTAAACGTATAATAGATTTCTGTAATGGCGACGTTTTTGTTATTCTTGTTTTGTTGACTGTTATTGGATAATGTTTGGCTTCCGGATATTCAACCATAATCAATTCAGCAAAATAAATATTTCAAGAAAATATAGGCAATGAAAATATATTTAAAATTATCATATAAAAAATTATTTTATTTAATTAATTCAAAAAAAATTATTTTTAATTAATATTGTTTTAAAAATTGTATAAAATATTTTATAATAGATTGAAGTTTGATTAGTTGTGTTTTTTTAGATAACGTCATTGGCTAGATTTTTGCGGTCAAAATGAAATAAACCAATGAAAAAAAAGCTTTTTCCCTATCCTCTTTACATGTACTGGCGTGGGGTCGAACAAGTTTCAATAATATCCTTCTCCATTAGCTTCTTGAACGGGTAAGAATAATTTTATTTTTTCTTTATTATAAAATGTCAATTGTTGTTATTATTAGAATTTGAAGTTTACAATATGTGCCTATTATTAAGTGTGTGATAAAGAGTGT